TGTTATCATGTCCCACTCCCTTCTGAATGTCAACTGACCGGGCATGGTTTTTCTCTGCTGCTGTTATTAAGTGCCTTCAAGTCATTTCCAATTCATAGCAACCTTGTATAGGGTTTCCAAGGAGCAGCTGGTGAGTTTGAACTTCCAACCTTGAGAATCAAACAAATCTTGTGGTCCAGTGCCTATCACAGGCACCATGCCAGGACTCCAAAAGACTGTATGTAGCAGCTGGTATTCCCAGGCTATCTCCCATCCAAGTACTAACCAGACTAGACCTGCATAGCTTCCAAGATTAGACAAGATCTGATACATTCAGGGTGGTACAGTGCTATGCATTTGCAAATGTGCCTGGCTGTTTTAGAAGAGAAGACACTTCAATCACTTGGGAAATTGAATGAGCTAACTTTAAGGAAACAGACAAAGTTCAAATTGAGTTCTTTGTCTCACAGGAGATAATGATATTTTCAACAAATAGTACTGATATAATTAGATTGTTGTTGTTAAGTGTGCCATCTAGTCAGTTCCAACCCATAGTGACCCTATGTAGGGTTACTGAGGAGCAGCTGATGAACTTGAACCGCTGACCTAGCAGTTCAAACTCACTATGCAGTGCAGCACATTAACTCACAGCACTACACCAGGACTCTGATACAATTAGATAGCAACATGCAAAAGAGTGAATTTAAAACCATGCAAAAGAGTGAACTATTCTGTATAATGTGTGGTAAACACATTATACACAATAATTAACTTATAAAGGATCATAGAAAACAAAGGAAGAAAATATTTTCATAAACTTGATTTAGGCAAATATTTCTTAAATAGAATACAGAAAGCAAAATCCTTAAGATAATGTTGATAAATTGCACTTCATAAAAATTTAAAATACTGTGCTTAAAAATACATTGTGAAAAAAATTAAAAGTAGCCAGAGACTGGAAGAAAAAACTTGTAATTCGTGTAACTGGTGATGGAAATTGTGTCTAGCATTTATCAAAAGGATATACATGTCAATATTAAGGACATAAAAACTGTGAGAAATAACTCTTGTGGGCATGGTGCGTCTTTAGGACTTCATGAGAGATGCCTAGACCAGGCAGACAGATTATTGATTTACATCCAGGGATTTGTAAACAGGCTTTTCTAGGACTACGGAATTTAAATAAGAATACAGTCATTGAGACCATGGGCAAGCCATTTTGGCTTCTCTGGGGGAAGGGAAAATGGGATGTGCCACAGAATTATATATGGTGGGGGTGGTTATAGGCTATGAAGTAGGTTCTGACTCATAGTGACCCTGTACAAGGTTTCTGAGGTTATAAATCTTACAGGAGCAGAAAGCTTCATCTTTCCCCTACGGTTTGGCTGGTAGTTTCAAATTGCTGACCTTGAGGTTAGCAGCCCGATTCATTCGTAACCACTAGACTACCAGAGATCCTTAGAATTGTATCTGGGGAACTGGAACTGGAGGAGGGGCTTTTTGGAGAAAAGAATAAAAACCCCTGTTTGTGGTGGGCCATGTGGTGCATCTGCCCATGTCTACTGGGTTGGGCCCCGATTTTGCAAAATCAAATAAAGAAAACCTCACTCTCACTAAAATGAGTACAGATTGGATTACTTGAGCATTTGTCGGTATGGACAATGTTTCTCACAAAACAATGTTAAGATATGAACCAAATACTTGAATAGATATTACTGAAAACAATATTAATGTAGGGTCACAAACTTAAAGCTCCAAAATGACTGTGCCAACATCACCTCAAAACCATATCGCCTGTCCCTTCTCCCTGTTCCTGCTGTCTAGAAAGAGGCAGACTGCCCCCTCCTCCAGCTGTCTACTTCTCCTACTGTAGTTATGCATGAGCTAGGAAGGAGCCAACAGCCCTTTCTCCCACTAGGCTTTCAGAAACTCCTTTGTTTTCCAGGAGCAGACAGACAACCAGGCACCATCCTACTTCTGCATACCATCCTTAACTGCCCTTACACTTCTGAATATCCCAAGATATAAGAAGACCATAGCCCTGCCCCTCTATCTGTAAAACTTCAGGATCCAGCCAGCACTGGAACAGTTGTGTTTTGAGCTTTATAGGTAAATTCCCTTGTCAGTAAACCATCTCCTTTATTCTCTTTTATTATCTTTCTGTAATAAAATAATGTTTCTCAGAAGGAGTTCTGAGTGTTTTTTTGATCTCTCAGTACCTATGTACTCAGAAGACTTTTTTTCCCTTCTGGGCCTGATAACCGACAATATATGAATGGCTTGTATATACATGTTGAATCATTAGAAAAATACAAATTAAAGTTATAATTCAATACCACTATAAATATACTAAAATGACTACACAAAAGGGCAATAATAAGTGTTGGCGAGGATGTGAAGTGATCTGAATTCTTTTACGTCACTGGTGAGAATTAAAAATGTTAACCTTGCTTTGGAAAACACATTGGTTAATTTGGACAAGCCTAACTTTCAGCGAGGAGCTCTGGTAGTGTAGTGGTTACGAATCGGGCTGCAAACCTTAAAGGTCAGCGGTTCGAAACTATCAGCTGCTCCGCGGGAAAAAGATGAGACTTTCTACTCCCGTAAAGATTTACGCCCTCGGAAACCCTGCACAGGGTTTGCTATGGGTCGGAACCTACTCGACGGCACTTAACAACAACAACAACAGACTCAGCGAAGAGCTTCTGTTATGTTTATACTGTCTTACTACTAAATAAAAAAAAGAATACAAAGTTCAATATAATGACAAGCATTAAATGAAGGTATGAATACAAGTAGGTATAACTTTAAAATGTAAATTGAGGGTTAGACTCTTAAGATAAATTTTAATATAATTAACAGAAATGCAAGACTTTGCATCCATGAAACAAAAACAAGAAGCTCTTAACATGAATATAGAGGAAGGATGCATGATGAAATTCCAAACTATGAGCAAGCTACATATTATTTTAGATGATATGATTTAGAAACTGATCACAGAATGTATATATATACATATGTGTGTGTGCTGTTGTTAAGTTCCATAGAGTCGATTCTAATTCAGCGACCCTATATAAGGTTTCCAAGGTGCAGCTGGTGAGTTTGGAACTGCTGTCCTTGAGGTTCAACTAACCTTTAGGTCCAGCACATTATCCTGCAGCGCCACACCAGGACTTCATATATATTTATATTGTTATTAAGTGTTCTTTAGTTGGTTTTGACTCATAGGGACCCTGTACAAGGTTTCCGAGGAGCGACTGATGAGTTGAACAGCTGACCTTCCGGTTCTAAACATGCAGTCTGGTGTGTTAACTCACAGCGCCACACTGGGACTATTTCATATCTATATATTTGTTGTTAACTGCCGTCGTGTCAGTTCCAACCCATAGCGATCCTATATAGGGTTTCCAAGGAGCAGCTGATGAGCTTGAACCACCACCCTGTGGTTCAAACCAACTTTGCAGTCTAGCATTAACCCACAAGTCCACACCAGGACTGCAAGGTTTATTTGAACAGCAAGGTCTGTCGTTCAAGCTCACCAGCCGCTTCTCAGAAACCCTATACAGGGTTGCTATGGGTTGGAACCCACTCGAGGGCACTTAACAACAGCTATATATAAATATTGTTGTTGCTGTTGTTGTTAAGTGCCGTTGAGTCGAGTCTGACCCATAGCAAACCTGTATAGGGTTTCCAAAGAGCAGCTGGTGAGCTTGAACCACCAACCTTGCAGTTCAAATGACTTTGCTGTCTAACGCATTAGCCCACAGCGTCACACCAGGACTCCAAATATAGATATAGTGGTGGTTATATGCTGTGGAGTCAGTTCGGACTCATAGCGACCCTATATACTGTATCCAGAAGCAAAAAGCCTCATCTGTTTTCCTGTGGAACAGCTGATAAAAAAATATAGTAAAATTATTTCAGGTGAACAGGAAAGGGTAAAAGTCATTCATTGCTCTCTCCCGCCCAGGAAGCAAGCTGAAATGCTAATCAGGTCACCAAATGGGACCAATATCCCTGATTTTCCCCCTGCCCTCAAACAGGTATGCAGCCTGGTCCCTCCCCAAGTCTGACCCCCATATAATAAGCCTTGTTGCCCTCCATTCGGGGCTCAGAATCTGGAGAAATTCACTCCTCTGAGTCAGCCGGTTTAATAAAATCTGAAACTCTGTGCTTCACCTCTCCGAGTAGCCTTGGTTTCTTCCACCATGCATCTAAAAGTGCTGTAACACAGGAGTTTCAAGTTTCAAATCATTGGACTCCTGGTATGGTACTATAGAATCAGCACTGGCCCACAAACCCACGAGCTGCCCCTTGGAAATCCTGTACAAGGTTACTATGAGTCTGAACCAACTTAACAGCAGCAGCAATAACAAATACTCTCCATTTTATGGGGATATCCTAAAATAAATTCCTTCCTTCAAATATTTTTTCTGCTCACCAAAAGTATTTTTGAACATGACCAAAATAGTTCAACTTTTATTTCCTTTTTAGATCATAAAATATAATACAAAGCCAGGCATTATTTTTTTTAATAGCGTAGTGGTTACGAATCGGGCTGCGAACCTTAAGGTCAGCGGTTCGAAACTACCAGCCGCTCCGCGGGAGAAAGATGAGGCTTTCTACTCCCGTAAGGATTTACACCTTCGGAAACCCTGTACAGGGTCGCTATGGGTCGGAACCGACTCGAAGGCACTTAACAACAACAACAAAAAAGATTAGCTAAACTATGTAGCATAAATTTCTACAGTGGCTATAAAATAAAGCTGTTTATAAATATCACTAAGAACTTATCCTAAACATAGCAACTATCTTAAAATTTCTATAAAATTAAGAAAAATCATTTAATATAAACTTGATTTCCAGTTAACTGTTGATACTAAAAGTTCAAAACGCATTAAAGCAGGGGTAAAACAAAAAAGATCGGTACTTGTATTCTGTTTAAACTTCTTTCCAAGTTATTCTGAAAAACTCTCATTGGTAATATGTGATACAAGACAAATAAATAAAAAAATACTTACCAAATCTTTTTCAATAATAACATGCATTTCTATATAATGAGAGATATCTGATATTTTCTGGAAAAAATAATAAAAAACACAAACTTCATGTCAGAATTAAAGCATTCCTTAAATGCATTAATATATATCACTAATGTAAATGATTACATGCTAAACGAAATATGACTTTCATGTAGAAGCAAAACCAGATATTTTAAGTAAAGATAGTTACACAGAATCCTTTCAGTGGATTCTTTTTCTTGTCATATCTTCTAGACCTAGTCAGTGTGGATAAATGCACTGGACCCACTGGGTCCATTTAAACCTCAAGGTTGGTGGTTCAAACCCACCAGCGGCTTCTCAGAAACCCTAAAACAGAGTTGCTGTAAGTCCAAACCCACTCGACGACACTTAACAACTTAAAAAGAAAAGTTGAAAAAGGACAGTAAAGTAAATTTAGGATTGCTTTAAAATTTTCTTTACTCACCAAAAATATTGATAATGTTCCTTTGTGAGTTAACTGTCTTCTAACCATTTCAATCAAACTTAAAGCACTTTGTTGATGTTAAGTGCCATTGAGTCGGTTCCGACTCATACAGACTCTGTACAGGTTTCCAAGGAGCAGCTGGTGAACTTAAACTGCAGTGTGTGTGGTTTGCAGTCTTGTGTTGATCCTACAGCGCCATTTCAGAAGTCCTAAATATTCCTTATTTTTCATGGGAAAGTTAAGTATTTTGCTAGGTGCCCGCAGTTGGTTCCCACTCATAGTGACCCTATATAGGGTTTCCGCAAAGCTGCCGGTGGGTTTAAATCACCAACCTGCGGGGGTTAACAGTCAGGTCCTTATCCTACAGTGCCATACCAAGACTTCTTTGCTTATGGTGTTGTTATTAAGTGCTATTGAATAGGTTCCAACTCATTGTTGTTAGGTGCTGCTAGTCAGTTCTGACTCAAAGTGACCCTATGCACAGCAGAATGAAACACTACCCAGTCCTGGCCATTCTCACACTATGACTCATAGAACCTTGTATGGCTTTCCAAGGAGCTGCATATGGGTTTAAACCACCAAACTTATGGTTAGCAGTACAGTGCATATGTGGTAGTGTCACATTAGGTCTCTTTTGCTTACAGGACTCATTAAAGACCTTAAAGAATAAAGTTATAAATACTTTACTTGATTTGAAAAAAAAAAATCATTTAAGGAGACTGTGTGTTTAAAAAAATGCAAAGAAATGTGAGTGTTACAAAAGTGGGCAGGTATCATATTTCAAGGACCTCAAAAGCCATTTCATTTATGTTGTTGTTGTTGTTAGGTGCCATCAATTAGTTCTGACTCATAGTGACTTTATGCACAACAGAAGGGAACATTGTCCAGTTCTGAGCCATCCTCACAATAGTTATTAAGCTTGAGTCCATTGTTGCTGCCACAGTGCCAATCTATAGTTGGGAGCCTTTCTATTTTTCACTCACCTTCCTAGCATGATGTCCTTTCAGAAAATGTGTTCAAAGTATGAGAGATGAAATCCTGCCATCCTGGCTTCTAAGGAGTATTCTGGCTGTACTTCTTCCAACATAGATTTGTTTGCTTTTTGAGCAGTCCATAGTAAGAGACAGTAGGCATAAATGGCATAGATTGGCACAAAAGTTCTTGGATATGTGTTTTATAAAATGACTGTGATGCTAGTAAGAAAGTTATCTCTGCAAAAGAAGAAAGAAAGAAAGAAAGACCCTAAAGAATTGTATGTAGGTAAGATTGAACCCAAGGTTGAAGATCAAAGATGTCAGCTTGAGGACTAAGGTACACCTACCTGACCCAAGCCATGCTATTTTTAATAACCTCATATGTATGTGAAAGCTGGACAGTGAATAAGGAAGACCATAGAAGAATTGATGCATTTGAGCTATAGTGTTGGAGGAAAATATTAAAAATACCATGGGCTGCCAAAAGAACCAACAGATCTGTATTGGAAGAAGTGCAGCAGAGTTCTCCTTGGAGGCCAAGATGGCTAAACTTTGTCTCTTTTACTTTGGATATATTGTCAGGAGAGACCAGTCGCTGGAGAAGGATATTGTGTTTGGTTAGGTGGAGAGTCAGAGAAAAAGAAGAAGACCCCCAAAGAGATGGATTGGCAAAGTGGCAGCATCAATGGGGTCAAGCATGTCAACAGTTGTGAGATTAGCCCAGGACTGGGCAGTGTTTCATTCTGTTGTGCATAGGGTCACTATGAGTCAGTGCTGACTCGATGGTACCTAACAACAAGATCGAACCACAAGGTTGGCAGTTCACACTCATCAACTGCTCTTTGGAAACCCTATACAGGGTCACAATGAGTCAGAACCAACTGAAATCTTGCCAAACTGAAATGAGGGTTTGCCGCCTGTCATTGTAGTCAATTACAGAGATGGGAGAAATCTGATCCAAGCTTTATCAACAGAAAACCAACAGTCTGGTGGATTGAGAGAATAATTTCTCAAGACCTTCCTGCCTATTATGAAAAGCAGTCACATTATATAGGATAAGTTACATTTGGATGTGCACTTAACATCAAGATAGCACCCTTTGGAAAAAGAAACAATAAAGCAACAAACTTCTTCAAACATTCTGTGTTTAGGGAAAAGGAAACAGTAAGGCAATAATCCTTCCCAAACATTCCACCTTTTAGGATCCAAGCTGTTTAGTTCCTGAGATAACTATCTGAATGGGTTTAAGCATATCCTGTTCTCCTTCTAAGACCATGAGGTCATTTCAGGTAATTTTTAAACTAACTTCCTCATTTGCAGGTACTCATTTATCAAGATCTGAGTCCTGGTGTGGCACTGTGCGTTAATGTGCCAGATTGCTAAGCTGTTTGAACTGCAAGGTCAGCAGTTCAAACTTACCAGCTGCTCCTTGGAAATACTATACAGGGTCGCTATGGGTCAGAATCTATATGATGGCACTTAACAACAACAACAAAGGACTAAGCCAACTCCATTTTGCTTAGGTCCATAGATTCATGCTATCTTGACAACACTTAACAACAACCACAAGATTAGAAAACGTGCTACTGGGATGGGTCCAGTCATTTGAGAAAACAACAAAAACTAAACAATGGCAATGTAGATGGATTGTTGTAATCAAGTAAATCTTTTCCTAAAGCTGCTATCTTTAGGGGAACTGAAAGACTCATCCTTCTCCAGTGGAGCAGCTAGTGGATTTGAACTGCTGACCTTGTAATTATCATTCTTCCAGTTCTTATCCTACAACACTACTGTTACATTTGCTTGTTTTTTCTTGGTCCCTCTCACTCTCAGGGGGTCTAAAGAACTAGTCCCACCAAGTCATGTACTTCTCATTCACACACGGTCAATAAGAATTCACTTAGAAGCTCTTTATTGCAAAGCAAAAGTACACTTCAGAGAGAGAAGTGGGTCTGTCTCCCTGAGTGGAGAAGACCTGGAGAAATTGGGACACATAGATTAAATCACAGCAAAATTACACTCCAAAGAAAGAAGCAGGTTTGTCTCCCCAAATGGAGAAGACACTTTGGGGTTGGGATGCAGTGGCTTATAAATGTATGGGGTCTCTTCCTCCAAGAGTTAGCTGATACATATTGATTAGGAGGAGTGGTATGTTGAATATTCATAATTTTTTAGTAAAGAGGAGCAGGCTTCTTGGAAATGGAGTGCCTTCTGCAGCTGTCAGCTCTAGGCGCTATCTTCATGGACTGTCTGCCTGAGGCCAGCTACTTCTAATAGGGTTTCAGGTCCTGATATCCTTATCTTTGTCTCCAGGCTGTTCTTCCTAGCGTTAGTAATCTTGACTAGAGATGTCCTCCCCACTTTCTTGATCTCTGTTTAGCAGGAGAGGATTCAAGGCAAAGGGGTGAATATGAAGCCAGAGTAAGAAAGGTCCAGGGCCCAGGGGTCCTATCCTGTCCCTGGCAGTCTATTTACTATCCTTTGCTATCACCATAATTCAAAGGCATCAATTCTATATAGGGGGTCTTACTCTTTTTTGATGACCCTCCACTTTACACAGCATGATGTCCTTCTTCAGGAATCAGTCCTTCCTATCTGAAGTATGGGTGTTGAAGTCTGACCATCCTGGCTGCTAAGGAATATTCTGGTTGCACTTCTTTCAATATAGATTAGTTTGTACTTTTGGCATTCCATGGTACTCTTAATATTCTCCTATAACAGCAGAACTCAAATGCATCTATTCTTCTGTGGTCTTCTTTATTCATTATCCAATTTTCACATGCATCTGAAGTTATTGAAAATATCATGCCTGGGGTCAGGCTCATCTGAATCCTCAAATTGGCATCTTTGCTTTTGAGGACTTTAAAAAGGTCTTGTGCAGCAGCTTTGCCTAATGTAATACATCATTTGATTCCTTGACAGCTGCTTCCGTGGATGTTGATGGTTGATACAAGCAAAATCAAGTCTTTGACAATTTCAATTTCTTCTCCACTTATATGGGTGCTGTTTATTGGCCCAGTGGTGAGGATTTTTGTGTTCATTGAGGAGTAACACATAACGAAGGCTGTGTTTGAATTTAGAGGTCTTTGATCTCTAAATTAAGGTGGGACATGCTTAAGTTCATATTTTGGCTCTTGTGGACTTGTTTTAATTTTCTTCAGCTTCAGCCTGAACTTACATATGTGCAATTGGTGGTCTCTGTTCCACAGTTTGCCCTTGGCCATGTATTGACTGATGATATGGAGCTTTTCCATTCTTGTCAATTTGGCTTCTGTGTTTTCCATCTGTTAAGTTCCATGTATATAGCCATCTTTTATATTGGTCAAAAAGGCATTAGCCATGAACAAGTCATTGGTTTTGCAAAATTGTATCATGCAATCTCCAGCATCATTTCTATCACTAAGGCTATATTTCCCAAGGACTGGTCCTTCCTCTTTATTTCCAATGTTTGCATTCCATATTAATTACCTAAGTAATATTAATAAGCATGAAGTTTGAAGTTGTCTTAGGGGAAAATTACCACAAATTTACAGTTATGTAGAAAATCAATTATAATCTGCTAATGCAGAATATATAAAATAAAGTTGAGAAGCAGACCAACATATCTTCAGAAAAAG